TTTCTTTTATTGCACATATTTTTTGAACCAGGGGAAAAAGTTACAAAAGAAACACATTTTAAGTACAGAGTAAAAATTTGGCGTGCTGGGCCACAATATATTTAACAGTTTTTTTTTTTAGATTCATTTTAAATATATTTTATTTGCAATTTTTAATGATTTTTTGTCTCAATTGTATTTTCTTTACGTTAAAAAATCTATAAGACTTAGAAAATATGGAAAGAGTTAGAAAGAAAACAAGAAAATACAACTTGACTATCAGTTTAATTTTTTTTATAATCGCTGTTGAACAACCGACTCCATTTTGAGTTTACGCCCTATCAACCAGGCTATCCCGGCCAAATTTATTAGTTTATTTTATAACAGTCATTGCACAGCCGACCCAATTTCGAGTTTACGACTACTAATATTCAACTCCGAGGCCTTGTAATTTTGAACCCAATCCAGAATACAAGGGAACTGCTAGATTAGTACCCAGAGGTATTTATTTGTTATGAGAACTTGGAGGACTTTGTGACCCTGACAGATTTAACATGCACCAGTAACCATTTTATACATGGGTATTCTTCTGCCGGCTGGATTAAAACTCCCATTATCACGAACGCGAGTCCAACGCCCGATCAACCAAGCTATCCCGGTCAAATTTATTAGTGTATTTTATAACAGTCATTGCACAGCCGACCCAATTTCGAGTTACTACTAATATTCAACTCCATAGCCTTGTCATTTTGAACCCAATCCAGCAGTCCCTAGAGCAGGTGAGGGCCGTTATATTAATACTTTTGTAAAAATAAAAAGAACATTTCGTAAGCTGATATTATTTAATTGATGTTTATATTGAAAATATTTCATTATTTTTTATTCCTTTTTAATTATTTTAAGTACATTTGTTAAATTTTAGCGCAAGAAAAAAAATTGTCATTATTTATGTACATTTTTGGCTTATATTTTTAAGGATTTATTAAAGGGTCTATTAAATATCAGAGAGAATAAATGTCATACGGGTTGAAAGTATCAGCTCTGCTCTTGAAGGTGTATAGTGGCTAGGATGTGAAAGAGCAACAGTCTCGGGCATCCAGCCAAAACGAGCATTTAACATATCAATTGGAACACGCTAAAGCTATATATCAATCAGCAATTAGTTTTAGATAATTACAATTGTAGAATAATTATCTTATTATAGAACGAAATGTTTTAAAAAGACAAATATCTGCTAATGTTTAACATTTAATCAACGAAAAAACAGAACCAATATTGAAATCTAACTAATTTATTATTTTTAATTGCTGATAAAGTTTGTGACAGAAAAAAAAAATTAAAGCCTGGTAGATTTCAGAAACACCTTCTAGTTATACTATTCAATCAAATAGGTTTCGATGTCTTTCATCCCGGTCTCATTAGTGATTCAGTATATTTCGATATCATTTTTGTTTCGTTCTTACTTAATATTAATTTGTTTGCGACAGTTAATTTGTATACCTCTTTTACTACATTTTCGAGGAGTTTAAAAATATAATATTGAGGATTTTAACTGAAATGAATTTTGCTTCTTTTGTATGCCTCTTTTATTACGTCATCATCACACCTACTCGCAACTGTCTACTCTAAATAATGCTATATAGAATGAGATAGCAAAACAAACGTGTGTAGTTATTTAAATTCTTATTCAAAAGTATTAGTTAATTTTTTTTTTTGAACTGACAATTTCTGTCCTTTTTTAGATATTTTAAAAAAGGACAGAAGATATTAGATATTTAGAAGATATTAGATATTTTAAAAAAGGACAATTTCTGTCCTTTTTTAGATATTTTATTATTATTTAAAGTGCTGTTTAAAACTGCTGCATATCACATGAACGCATTAAATATATCATTTGTATAATTTGAAAGCAAAATAAAAGGGAATTCTGATCCTTAGAAACAGATATTAAATAGTCTGATGATCGAATGATGGGGCAAAAAAAAAAAAAAACTTTACCTTTTAAACTAAAAAATTGTTTACTTATAAATAATTTATTAATACTCAAATTGCTTGAAAGATGATATGTTCCCTAATAGTGACAACGAAGTTTTTTGTTTTATTCAGTCATTTATTTATATTTATTATGTCTGACAATGTAAAAAAGAAAAAAAATGCATTTTCGGCTGCCGAGGGCCCCAGCTCCGAATAAAACTTTAAAAAAAGAGGGGGGAAAGTAGGATCTGGGGGCCCTTGTCATTTCGGGGCCCCAAGCTACAGCTTATACGTAAATTCGGCCTTGCTCGGTCCCTACGCAGACTGATCCAAGTGGTCACCCACCCAGTGATGCTTGACTTCGGTGATTTGCTGAGAACCGTGTCTTAACGATCAGTCCACTGCGGGACCATAAAAAAAAAAAAAATGAGGACAAATCTCATTGCTATTTGTTAAAATGAAAACTCTATTTCAAATCAAATAAAATTATTACTTTAATAGAATATAATTCTTTTTAATATTTGATTTCTTACTTTGAATTATTAAAACTCAATATTGAATAAATAAAGCCCAGAAATTGAAGGATATTCTGTTGCAGAAAAGATTTCGACAGCGTTACAATCAAAAAACCACGACTGTTCACTGCCTTGAAATTTCGAATTCAATCCAGTAGACAAGGGAACTCCTGGATAAAGTACTAGGGAGAAATTTGCCTTGGTGGAGAACTAACCCGCATGTGCGTCACAAGGAGAGGTACCCCCATGAACCGCCTACCACAATTTTGATCTCCTGCAGAGAGGATTGCATCCCCGCTTCTATAGCACCTGCACTTTACGGCAGAACAGTTTAAAGAGGACCCTCGGTCCCTACTCACCAGCACACAAATGATGCTTGACTTGGGGTGATCTGCTGGAAATCGGTGTCTTAACTCTCAGTCCACTAAAAATTTATAATAAAGGCATTAAATGTACGATGCACGAACTTTTTAAATACCACTTTATGACGCATTTGCGTCCACTTTCTTAAATGCATGGTCCAGAATAAAACAAGCGAATTCCTAACGTGCACACTTTGCATCGCCCTTCAGTAGAGTCATATGTTATTCCTTTTTAATGTTCCAACTATCTACAAAAATAAACAAAAAAGATAATCGTTGAAAAATGTACACAAATTTAAAAAAAAAAAAATCATTATATTGTAGGGAGATTGTATGGGAACTGTTATTTAACATTCCAATGGACAGATGGCGCTATTCTTCCGAGTTGCTCTTTCCGATTTATTTTTACGCGCCGTCCAATATTATTATACCAATAGTGTTTACAGTACAAAGTTTTTAATTTAAATTTCCACGGAACAAATGAAGACAAGCAAGTCCTATTTTATACATCCAAATAAGGGATAAACACTTAATTTATGTCGTGATATTAATTTGTTTTAGGCTCCTGTTAGGATTTGTAAATTACAGGATGTTCTTGTTAATTTACGTCGCACTAGAGCTGCACAATGGGCTATTGGCGACGGTCTGGGAAACATCCCGGAGGATGATCCGAAGACATGCCATCACAATTTTGATCCTCTGCGGAGGGGATGGCACCCCCGCTTCGGTAGCCCGACGACCTGCGCGCGAAGTCGAGCACTTCACGGTAGCACAGTTTAACGAGGACCCATACCGCACACCCTCGGCCCCTACGCAGACTGATCCAAGTGGTCACCCGACCGCACCCAGTGATGCTTGACTTCGGTGATCTGCTGAGAACCGTGTCTTAACGATCAGTCCACTGCGGGACGTAAATTACAGGAAACTCTTATGAACCGTAAAAAGACGCGCAAACACAAATCACATTTGCGAAACTTCCTAGAAAGCCGTGATGAGGATAGAGCGTTCGCCTTCCAATAAGGTAAGCCGGGTTCGAATTCCGGCTCCCACCGACCACAGTGCTGACGTTAAATATCCTCGGTGGTAGATGGATCATGGGTCCCCTTGCCGTCAAAATAACCGTGGGAGGCTCTCGTGGTCTTCCTTTCCATGTAACGCAAGTGCAGGTTAGTTCCATCAAAAAGTCCTCCACTGAGGCAAATTTCTCCCAATACTTGATCCAAGAGAGTCTTCTGGACAAGGCTACGTAGTTGAAAACTAGTCGGCTGTTTATCGGCGGTCCTAGAAGCCTGTTCACGCAAACATACCATAAGCGGATGGATACACCGTAAGTTTATTCCGGTTCCAGGAAGCTTGTTATTGTTTACATTCAGTCAACCATTGATAAAAATTGGGGAGCGGAAAAAAGAGTACTTTAATAATATAGTATTTAAAAGTAGTTTTAAAAACAAATGATCATGTTATTAGAAACAGGGATAATTTAAAACGTAACCCTATATTTTTCTTTATGATAGCAGAAAATGTGTGTGGAATGAATGATCACCAGTTTATATATTCAAAATATTTATTTACATTGATGTATTTCACAATATAAAATAATTTTATAATAATAAGAAAACAAAATCAGTCAAAAAATAAATATTTATGCATTATTTAAAGCTCTCCATAATTATTCATTTATTTCTGTTAACTTTTCATAAAATGACAAAAAAAATTACTGATAATTATTTCTTTTTTTCAACAGTTTAAAAAAAAAAGTAAAAATGAGCATCGATGCATAATAGTTATTTTGATAAAATGAGAATATCAAAAAATAATAGACTACTATCATAATTCAGACAAACAAAATAATCAATGATAAACATTGGTAAAGAATTAAGAAACATTGAAAAATACAAATGAACATACAACAAAAGTGCATTTCATTTCATGAAATTGTATTCATTAACTTAGAAAAAACAAATGACATGTTTATTCATAATTTTAAACTTATCACATTTATGCTTTACATTTACAAGTTATCATTTTTGTTACTTTATCATTATGCAATAATTCATTATACATTTAGAAGGATACATAACTACAATAGATACATAACTACAATAATAATTTTCATTTTTTTAATTAATTCCTTCAAAAATATTTTTTTATCCATCATGTAGTATATCTTTATATATNATATATATATATATATATATATATTAGAATATAGTTTAAAAAAACTCACTAATATTTAGACAAAATGGGTACTTTTCACGAAAAAATTCAATACAGCGAGTACCGCCTTCAGGAATGGGCTCCATGCGGCCCTTGAGAATCTTACTTTTTATACATTGTATTAAAAACAACATTGCATTAAATATGTTTTGAAATAAATATATTCCCAGACAAAAAGTGTGCATTTTCTTTCTACTAACAGTGATTGATTATTATGCAAACACCAATTGATTTGAATAGTTTTATCACCAGCAAAACTTAAAAAGTCAACCGAAATCTATTTTTCTACATTAAAATGAAGTTTTTAGAATACTCAACTCTCTCTGAAAATTATTGACCACCACTCACTCTGTTTATACTATTTATAATTAATTAAATAAAATAAAAAGTAGTTCAGTGAGGAACTTTTGAGGTGCATTAATATGATGTTTTAATAACTGACTTTGTTTGACAAAAAATATTCATACGATTTGAATTTTTCTTATTATTTAAATTAGTTTCTTGGTTTGGAAAATTATTTTATTATTTGAGGATAGACACTGACTATAGTGGCTCATTTAAAAATAAAAAAAAATTATGCAGAGTTTGAAAATGACTTATTGTATGTGCATTGAGTCATAAAAACGTGTTTATGTCATTATTGGGGCTATTAAGATATCCCTGAATAAAACCCACTTTTCCCTGAACAAATTTGGGTTTCCTCATGAAAAAATCCAGGTGGGCTGAGTTTTTGCGAAGTCTGGTTTTAGCTATTCAAAAGATCGTCCACTGTCTAAAATTTTTAAAAAATAAATAAAAATCATACACTTATTGCTTTTTTTCTAACAACATTCACAGAGTTGCCACTCAAATCTGGAGATAAAAATTCCCCGTGTTTTCAATGTCCATATTATACACACTATATTAAAAGGAAACACACAATTACTGTTTTCTTGTGTCAACTATATTGGGCTAACTATACTAATTATAATTGCTGGAAAAACTTAGAGGAACAGCTGAACATATTTAAATAATGCTATAGTAAATTAAACAGATTAGTATAGATGAAATATCATCCTTAAATATTCCATAGATGGAGCTTTGCATGGTCGCCACTTTTAAAAGGCAAAAACAGGAAATTCCCTATAGTTTTCCCAGTTTGTAAGGAAAAAATCAAATTTCCTTGTTATTTCAGGTGATTTGTAAATTCCCTGTACTTCCCAGGTTTTCCCGATTCTCCCTGTGGAGTGGCAACTCTGACGGATGTTCCGACATAGATATTGAATTTGCATTGTCAGGTGACATTTTTCTTTACAACTATTTATTTTAGAAGTTTGTATTAAATAACAAAACAAAATATTTAATTCAGTGAAATGCAAGGTGACTTTATAACCGGGTCAACAGAAATAAACTACTCTCTATTGTAAAGCAACTTCTTACTCGGAGAATAAAAATGGAGAATATTTGCCCATGCAACAGGTAATGATATTTTTCACACACAGGATGCAGTACAAAATATATTTTACAATAAGGCTAAAAGCATCTGGACACCCGGTTGTTAGGGTGGTGGAAGAATAATGGTGTGGGGCAGTGTTTATTGTGGTTGGAAACATGACATGTGTGTGGACAATGCTGCACTCTGTGGCAATAATTCGGGCCCATATCTCTTCCAGCATTGACACATCAAGGTTTGCACAGATGTTGTTTGACGAAATGGGTGTTCAAATACTGGACTGGCCTTCTCAGAGAACACATCTTTGGAACGAATTAGAGGGCAGATTAGGTAGCACTCACTGCAAGAAGCTCTGCATGGAAGTCTGTTGGAAAGTCTTCCCAAGAAGGTCGATGCAATAAGGGGGAACAACATCAGATATTAATGTATGCTAAGTCCATAACCACTGAGTGTCCGGATACTTTTGGTCTTAGTGTATTTATAAATAATTGAAACTATTACTTAGAAATAACTAAAATGGATATCACTAATAAATGGGAAAAAATTAAAAGCATGGTTAACTCATACATATTCTCAACATTAAAGTTGAAAGAATCCTTTTTTCTTTACAAAACATTTTTCATTAACAATTACGATCCTATAAATACATCGGATTAAAAAAAATCTTACGTTTTATTTCCAAATATGACTTCATATTCAAGACCAGTTATTTTGCAGGATAGAGCATTTTAACCGTAGGCAACTGAAGATTTGTCTAATAGCCCATTTTAGAGATTCAAGGTGTTAACATAGTAAAAAATTGTAAATGTCAGTTTAATCACCCATCAACACAAGTGATAAAGAAATAAGTCATGCAACTTGGTTTAATATAAATAAAATAAAAAAACATAAAAATGATGTTTCCACGTCTGTGAGTTGCAGTACCGTCTTTACACAACCGGGCACCTTCAGAATCTTACTTTTCATAAATTGTATTTAAAACAAATTAAGAGTTAAAAATATTGCATTATAAATATTTTTTTAAATATATTCCCAGAAAAAAAGTGTGCATTGTTTTTCCGTGAATAGTGATTATCATGCAAACACCCATAATTTGTATAGTTTATCACCAGGAAAACCGAAATCTATTTTTCTACGTTAAAACGTAGTGTTTAGGATACTCAACTCTCTAAGGCATGTCTCTAGATATGCTTGATCACCACCCACTCCGTTTAGTATTTATAATTAATTAAATAAAGTAATAATTGAAAGAGTTAAGAATGACAGAGCACTATGGGTCAGCAACTCTTAAATGGGTTATGACTGATGTGCATTAAAATGATGTTTTAATAACAGACTGAAATAGTTTGATGAAATTATTCATACCTTTTGAATTTTTTAATTATTTGTGATACACTTTATGTTTTTTTTAAATTAATTATTTTAATTAGCTTCTAAGTTTCGAAAATTATTTTATTATTTGAGAATTGCAACTGGTTAGGATCTAATTTTTTTTTATTTTTAAATTATGCATTTTATGTACATTGAGTTTTTAAGAGTAATAAATATGTGTTTAAGTTTGTTAAAATGCTTGTTTACCTTAAAAATGCTTGATTTTATGGTTTTTTTCATTTCTTTTAGTTGGATTTTAAAGAGTATGACATGTGTTATAGGGACATGCCTGTGCCCTGCTTGCTAATAAGACTATTAGGCTTTATATATAAATTAAGGTAAAAGAGAATGAAATTTCTTCAAAAGTTGAAAGAATCTTATATGAATGAGCTTTATTGTAACATACTCCTGTCGTCTTCCTTTAACACAACGTCAAGTAAATCTGATAATACAATGAAACACAAAGGAACCTTTTTGAATCAACATCGTAAAAAATCACTTATCAACTTAAGTGATAAAGAAAAGTTTTCCATAAGGATTTGGTTTCATATAAATAAAAATGAGAATACTTCTACTTTGTTGTCTGTGAGTCGAACGGAAAAAAAAATTGATTTAAGTTTAGTTAGATTAAGGAATTTATAAATTTGGCATTTAAGCATGATTTATGAATTCATGCTTGTCTCATTTTGTAATACATGAAGCACATAAACTTTTTTCATATAATCACGCAGAGGGAGAAAAAAAAAGAAGTCACACCTATCAACTCAAATAATTAAAAAAATGTGTGTTACACGAAAGAAAACGTTTTGATTTTTAAAATTGTCTTTTTTTACTGTGTGCATAAACAGCAGTCTAACAAAATATTAAGCTTCACACATAAATTAAGATTAAAGAGAATAAAATAAATTAAAACAACAAAATAATGTAAAAATACTAAGAATACTTCCTAAGTTAGAAATTTCTTCAAAAGTTTTAAGAATCTCACGACTGTCGAATCTTATAAAACATATGAATGAGATTTATTGTAACGTACTTCAGTAAACTGTGGCTTTCATCACACAAGTACATATATAATAATCTGATATCACAGAAATTCACAAAAGAATTTTTTTTCTTCAATCATCTGCCAAAAGTGGAGAACGTTCTGTTTTGAGGTCCTCCTCTTCCGTTTCCTGAGCAGATTCTTCTATTAAAGGCGGCAAAGGGGGATCATCCATCCTCCGTTCGTTGCTGTTCCACACACCATAGCCAAAATATATGACAAAACCTAGAATGTCATTCAAAAGATGAAGAGGGGGATGGGTAAGCCGAACTTAATTAAAGCTGCATTCAATAAAATCAGGGCGCATAGTCAGATTTTTTGACAAAAAATAAGCACTTTTCAGAAACTTATAAGTACTTTTTAAGCACTCAAAAAATATTTTTAATTACTTTCCAAAAAAAATCATAATTGGGATCTGTTCAGTAATAAATATTATTTTCTATCAGTGTAAGTTCTAAATTTATAAACAAAAAACCAATAAATTAAAAAAAACTTTTCTAAAACTTTGTATAATCATGATAAAATAACTGGTTTCCGATAAATATTGCAGAGAAAATTATGCATTTTTCGTAATTTAGAACAACAATCGATGCAGCAAAGAAAAAATCTCATTAAAAGATAGAAAATTAAGCCCTTTCTACAAACTCCGAAAAAAAAAGCACCTTTAAGGGCTCTTAAAAAACGTAAATTAAAAATATGCACCTTTAATCACGTTTTAAAAACGTTATGCACCCTGATAATATTTTTTTTTAATGTCATAAATACATAGGTGCCAATTCCTTTAACTAGCTACACCTTCTGGCCAAAAGTATCTCCGGACACCCAGTGGTTATGGTGGTCTGTTAGTTCCTGTGTTTGAAACTCTTGAGATATGTATGTGCTGCACTCTATGGCAATATTTCTCTTCTAGCAGGCTTCATTCACACATCGAGGATGGCGCAGAAGTGGTTTTGGGTGTCCCCCCCCCTCTAACGGCAGGCACTGAACTTTCGTTCTTCAACTCGGAAGATGCCGGACATGTTGCTCCTTTAACGTTACCTAGTGAGAGTTTGTGAACCTAAGTCACGGAGGCGAGCAACATCATCTGCCCCAAATACTCATTTATAGGGTGGGCCAGAGAACACTCAGAGATAAACATCTACGCCCTGAATGGGATACGAACAGGCCGATTCGAAAACTGGAATTCTCAGATCCCATAGAACAGTGTTCCCCAACCTTTTTATCACCGCAAACCTGTCAACGTTTGATAATTTTACTGCGGCCCAATATTTTAGATTATTATGATTTATTAATTTTATTGTATTTAAACATGCCTTCAAAATAAAATACAGTTACACCAAAAAATAAATATAACGTGATTTAACATTTTAACTTCTTAATATTTTATCTACATTTTAACTTAATTAAATCAATGAGTCACGATCGAGAGAGAAGACAAAGTTCTCTTCATTTGTTCCAAAATAAATTTCGCACCGGGCTTTCTTGTTTTATTTGATATTAACAGTTATGATCTTAATATTTTATCTACATTTTAACTTAATTAAATCAATGAGTCACGATCGAGAGAGAAGACAAAGTTCTCTTCATTTTTCCAAAATAAATTTCGCACCGGGCTTTCTTGTTTTATTTGACATTAACAGTTATGATGAGTGATTTTTTTTATTAAAACTAATTGGAAGAGAAAATAGTTGTCGTGGTTTTAGTTTTTTTTTTTTTTTTAAACATTAAAAAATTTATGTCACTACCTATGGGGCCCCTTTTTTCTAAATAAATAAAATTTTAATAGAAAACAAATATTTTTAATTTGGGGTATAAACCTAGGAATTTAAATTCAGTTTCAATGAAATGGGCGTCCCAGTACCATTTGATCCACAGACCGAGGGTTTGGGAACACTGCCACAGAACACCTTTAGATGCAGATGACGTAGCCACTTCAGCTGTGATGGAAGTCCTATTCAAAAACGGGTGGAAAGTCTTCCCGTGCATTGATGCAAAAAGGGGGACCGACTTCCTATTAATATGTGCCGTCTTGACATTCCATACCACAGCGTGCTCTGATACTTTTTGTCCGATAGTGTATACTAATACTTAATTCGACACAGTTTTATAACATAAATAAAATTGAGGAAAGGAATTATGAAATAAAAGCAACATATAGATAAAAATAAAGCACTAAATTAAGAATCATGCAATAATAGAACTTTACATTTATCACTTTATAGTGAAATATAAATTGATTACTTGGAATCAATGGTTAAAGTAGAGTTTATTATATTTTTATCATACCCTACATTTGAACCACTAAAAAATGTTGGCCGTAGCGTTCAGGCATTGTTCTGTAGGGAGAAAAAAATTAAGGTTTAAAATAGCTAGTTGGAATGGCAGACATGATTTTTCTTTGCTTTTATTTCTAGATTTTTTTTTTAATAACTGTTGTCGAAAGGTTGACCCGATTTTTGGTTTTACGAGAACTGATGTTCGACTCCGTAGCCTCGTTATTTTCGTCCTGATCCAGAAGACGAGGGAACTCCTGGACCCAATATAAGGAGAAATTTGCCTTCGAGGAGAGGAAAAACTTGCATGGTAAGCATTGCAAGGAGACTCTAACCCATGATCGGCCTACCACTGAGGATATTTTACTTCAGCACTGTGATCGATGTGAGCCGGATGCGGAATGCGTGTCAACCGACCGCCGCTGGGATTCGTACCCTGTTCACCTCGTTGGAAGGATGAACGCTCTTTCCCCTGAGTCATCCCGGCTCTTTATTTCTAGTTTCTAACATATCATTTTTGGCCGAGATAGCCTGGTTGATAGAGTGCTGCACTCTCATTTGTGAGAACGGGAGATGGAATTCAGCCGGCCGAAGACTCCCCTTTGTAGTAAATGGTGACTGATACATGCTAAGTCTGGCAGGTCACAAAGTCCATGTTCTGATAAAAATTAAACCTCTGGGGGTATGGATTGGAGATTGATTGTTGCACGATTCAGGTCAAAATTGCAATCTGTGGATGAATGAAAGATACCCTATAAACGGGTGTAAAGTAGGGATGTGGCACAAGTCTAATTCTTGACCATAGATGGCGCCACTGGAAAACAATAACAATCGCACCCCTTGTCATTGAATGCGACAATAACATTAAATCATTGTTTTATATTTTGGAATGTTTCAACATTTGTTTTATATCTTGGAAATGTTTCAACATTCAACAAACATTTGATGTAAAAAAAAATTATAAATGTAAAAAAATTATAGTAAATTAGTTGCAAACAAATAAAAATTTAATAACTCTGAGTAGCTAAAAGAAAAAATAAATTACTTTAAATTCGTTACGGAAATTCTCAAAAACCAAAATTTTCATTATACTATCATATGACATAAAAATGAGGTAAAAATGGCACCTCTCTAAATTTTTTAAACACGTTACAATTGTTATTTTGTTTTGAAGCTAAAGAATAGCATCAAAAGGGGAGATTTTTTAAAAATTTCAAAACAGCTGGTGTGTTACATTATTTATAATTTTAAAAAACATTAATATTTATTTCCCGATAACCATCATATCTTAAAACAATAACTTAAAGCTCCAACTAATCTCTTTATGTTATTCCTTTTCTGTAAATCTTTTTCTCGGATTATTATTCAAATCGAAACACTCCTTCTCACACTTTAACATTCTGCCTTTTAATCAATTTTTAGCTCACGCATGCATTAATTACCATTATGGCAATGATCCTTTGAACTAACTTGTGAGAAAGACCCTGGACCTATTTAATAGACCAATTATAATTACTAAGATTTCCCTTAATGGCTAAAATGAAACATTTTACGGATTTACTTTGCAAGATTTTCCCTAACTTTTATTGAGGAGCACAATGATTTTGTGTCACTTTAATGATTGTTCTCTCTTTACTAATTATTAAATAAATACTGCGCCCTCTTTCCCTGCCTAAGACCCGTTTTTAATCATTCCACTCGGCAACAACTTTAAATATATAGTGAGCATATATATATGTATATATATCGGGGGTCTGTCTAGATACTTTGTGAAAGGTCCGTTTTTATAAAATTGTGAAAAAATGACTCGTAATTTATGAATATAAAATAAACGCTAAGTCACATTCTTTCAACCAGGTTCCTGCTTTTGTGAATGTGTGCAAATTGGGTGCTGTTATTGCAAAAAACTTTTCAAAGGAGTTTTTAAATTGTAAAGAGATACAATATTGTTTGTGCTCAACACTGTAAAATTACAATTAAAAAAAAAATTTAAATTTTAGAAAATAAACAGCAATTTCTACTTCTAAATGAGAGATGCAACCTACAAATATTTGGTATTTAGCCTATACTGCTGAACACAGAATATTCATTTCGGACGAATAATGGAAGAAGCGTCCGCCGAAGACAAAACTTAGTTCATTTAAATCTGCCTTTCTCCCCCCCCCCTTTCTGGGAAGGGTTTATTTGATTAACAAAACAGTAATGAAGATAAACAAATTTGTGAAGGGTCTGATTAAAAGATAAATTATTTGGTGAAGGGTATGAAAAGATGTTTTGTGAAGGGAAAGTAATTAGAAAATGTGTCATATTTACCTGCAATCATCCAGTAGAGGAAACGCTTCCAGGTGGCTAAGGGTAATTTCAACATTAAGTTAAAGTTGACAAACACACTTAATACTGGAATGGTGGGAACCCAGGGAACCTGAAAAGACATTTATATTAATCTCGACTGCTGTGAGCCTTCCAATGAGCTGGTTCGAGTCCCAGCAATACGAATTCAGCACTCGGTAGATATTTTATAAAAGTCGCACTAGAGCTGCACATTGGGCCTGGAAAACACCCCTGAGGATAATCCGAAAATATAAAATCAAAATTTTGATCTTCTGTAGAGGGGATGGCTCCTTCGCTTCGGTAGCTCGACGACCTTCGTGCATAATCGAGCACTTCACGGTAGAACAGCCAGTGATGCTAGACTTCTGTGTTCTACTGGGGACCGTGTCTTTATGATCAGTCCACTACGGAACCCATTCCGCACCAACTAACCAAATAAAGTGCTATCCCTGAAAAAAATACTTTCCGATACTACTCTCCATTAACCTTGCTTTTTAATTTTAATGAATGCATATTATAAATGTTAATGGAGAATTAGTGTCAATAATAAATGCAGATTTTTTTATGGTTACCTATACCGAAAACGGTCGAACCTCGATTTAACGAATCGATCGGGACTGACCGTTTGCTAAATCAAATATCAATTTTTGTAAAGAGAAAGGTATAAAAATACTGATGCAAAATACCCTCGGATATACAGATACGAAAAAAAGTGATTATTGCTTACTATGAGCTTACAAATTATATAAGTTATATTTTAAAAATCAATTTCAAAATTATCTAAATTCTTCAATGCTACTGGCTTTTAAAACTTAACACATGCATATAATTACAAACTTGGATTAGGGTGTGAAATATTCAAAATTTTTAGACAAAAAAATTCAAAGTTTTAGTTTAATGTGCAAATTTCTTTTCAGATATTGTTGTTCATTAAATGAAAACTAAAAGTTTGTTAAATGAGAGCATTTTAGAACCCTTTTTTATAGGGAAAGAAAAAATATTTGTTAATTTGGAGACTTCATTAACTCAAAGTACGTTAGAGCGAGGTTCGACCGTAAGTACCTGTCCTCTATTATTTACCCTTTTAAGTATATAAGTTGTTTTTTATTTCAATTAATACATATTACCAGCATTAATTAAGCACCATTTTCGTGAATGATAGTATAACAATTTCTTACGGTTCTTACAAACAATAAATGCCTCCTTTTGCGTTCAAGACAAATAAATGCCTCCTTTTGCGTTCTAGTACATAGATTATTTCTTTTATTTCAATATGCATATACAGTTGGACTTCTATTCAGCGAACTTTCCTTTTGCGAATTTCATTATTTTGCGATTTTTGTTCGAGGAACCGAAAACATTTTGAAATGTCTTCGTAAAGTAACTTCCAACTAGCGAAGAGAATTTTCTATTTAACTTACTTTTCTTTGAGATCTACTTTCCCTATTTTCCAAAATATTTTGGAACATTTCAAACTTCAAATTTTAAGGGGGAAATGACCTTGAATTGATCTTCACAGCAACTTAACTTTTCGGGAAAGCAATAAAATCCATTTCGTATTTAGTTTGCTTTTTAAGCAAAAAACTCGGACAAAATGAACGGATTTTATCATTAGGAATTAAATTTTAATGTATGTTTAAAATTATTTTTATAATAAATGCAGCTATAACTTTATCCATATAAGTATAAAATGTATGTAACCATAAAATGTATGTAGCATAATAGTGTAACACTGGACGATGTTTTGCTCTATTCTTGCTTCCCATGTAGATTTCTTTTATGGTTAAGATTTATAAAATAAATAGTAGATACTAGTTTACAAAATAGAGGTGTATCAATTCCTACTTTAATTATGTCTAGTGTTTATGAATTTAAAACCAGTTTTGTGTCTTTTTTAATATTTCAAAAGGTGATTTTTCTATTAAAGGAATATTCCATATAACGAATTTATTATCGGACTTATTTGCTGACTTCGTTAAATAGAGGTCCCAATGTATTACATAAATTAATTAAACATCACGGTAATCAATAATAATTTGCGTAATTAAACTGTAACTCATAGCCAATTCATAGCGTAATTAATAGGAGCCAATTTATTCCATTTCTGCTAAACAAATTAGTATCACTCTCCCACTAATTTTGCATTTGAATACAGAAATTTTTTTTTTCTATTTCACCACTGTTGAATTTAAATAACCAATTTTTTAGAAACATGCTTAAAAGAATTAATATAAATAAAAAAAATTCATTCAATTTATCAGACATAGTGAATAAAAATTAAATACGCTCAGTAAACTATATTTTGATTAAATAGAGCTATAAGCTAGCAATTATCACCGATGTTATCTTTAAAATATGAGAAAAATTGAATCCTTAAATTTAAAACAATGGGTAACGCTTAACCAGCCAGAAAATTCCATAACATTTTTCGCTCATCCCGCTCAACGGTTCCTCGTAGAACGATAACAGTGACCTTCCTCATGTCTTGAACTATCTGTATGCCATGTTTCATTGTATGCCATGTCGAGATGGTATAGGAGTGCATAGAGGACAGGCAGACAAACATTCATTTTTAAAGATTTTAAGCATTTATATATAGATAGATAGATTTTAAGTTTGGAAATAAAAGTTTGCAGATTCTGGAGATAAATGAAATCAGAACAACTAAAAGAAAGAAAATGAGTTACCCTGAAGGTGAGACTCCTGTTGTCTGTGGGTTGCCTGGATAAAGCGATGGTGGCAATAATAACAATGATGGCTATGGATGAGACAGAAAAGAGAGCTCCAGGGTCTAAGGCAAATATTTCAGAATCCAATACAGTGAGGAGGATATCCAAAACAACAAGAAGTATACCTACAACATTCATTGCATAGTTTCACACCTGTGCTTTTTCGAGCTCTATAGCACTAGTATCTTTTTGGAAGATACTTTCAATAACAAACATACATGTTAATTATTTAAAATAACAAAAGCAATGTGTTTACAAAACTATAGATATTCTTTTTAATTAAGCATGAGATAATTTTTTATTCTAATAGTATGGGTGATTTTGTGGGGTAGGGTGGGAACACACTCATTATTTTCTTCTTTGCATTTGGTTAATAATTATCACAATAAATAAATACAGTAGAGAACCGATTATCCGGAACGATCGGGACCATCACTATTCCGGATAACTGATTTTTCCGGTTTTCTGAATCGCTACAAAAAGCCGTTTTTTTTATTGTTAAACCCAACTTAAAAAAATTATATTTGGAAATAATTTAAAAAAAAAGAAAAAACGAAGTAATACACTAATGATTATTTCCAAAATTATAGTAAGGTAAACATCTTTCCAAAAAGAAAGAAAAATCCTAAAATCTTATGAAGAAAAAAAATAAATTTTTTTAAAAAAATGGCGGGAAAGTTTATCGAACTTCGTTCCGGTTTTTTGGTTTTCCGGTTTTCTGATTTCCGGATAACTGGTTCTGTACTGTATTTAAAATTCATGAAATGCGTAGTATCAATCAGCGAAAGACGGGATTGACGATGAAATCGCGCAAATTGGACTCCTCTAAAGGGGGCCACTCGAATGTGTGTTTCGAGATTAAGTCGTTGTAATAATAATAACGAAATTGAATATCAGACTTAAACACTACGGAGAAATCGATAGCAGTGACTGTCGAAAATTCGATAGAATTACTGCCTTACAAAGTAAGTACTTGAATGCATGATTCGCATTTTCCATATCGCTTGAAATATATCGGGATATTTAAAATCAACATGTAAATCAATATCAACAACAGCTGAAAATATGATCGGAACATTATATGGATTTCCGACACTGTCGGCTCAAATGGAGCGTGTCAAAAAGTGATTATCTAAATACATTTCTGAGGAAAAACTCTTCAAAAGAAAAATCTTTCAGCAAGAACTCTGTAATGTTCTGAGACAATGCATCTCTGTCTGTATGTTGAATTCCATGCCAACTAAAACCAGTAGTGAGTTTTTAAAGTTTAAGCAATATCCTTGTATCATTTTAAAGGAAACTTGTTGTAATTTATGAATTCAGAAGTCATGCATGCTTATAGTAAAATTTATCATGAATAGAGAACATTCATGATCTTGACTTATTCTACCAAAAAAGCTGTCTATTTTACGAATAAGTTATTAAAAATATTACGATTTTACTTATAATTTTATTTATATTGTAAAATAAATTGTTCCTGAGTCTAATTATGCAGTGATTTCCATCAAAAAAAATTTTTTCTTTCCTATTTCTTAAGTCAAAAATTATCTCATATATATATTTGTCCCCTCTGTTACAATTATTCGTTTAAGTTTATTTTATTCATTACACAAAAAACCTTTTAACTTAATATTTGGTTTTTACAATAAAGTCTATTAGTACAATCGTGTTATGTTACATTTTTGAAAAAAAAATTTAAAATTTTAAAGTTTCTCATATAATAGAGGGGATGTAACATTGAGGACAAAACTAAAATGTCCCCTCAGTTACACAAATTTGATGGGTTGACCATTAAAAAGGAACTTTAGGAATGTAAACAAGTGCATCCTGATTCAACTAGTTTAAACCAGTGCCTCCACTATTAGAGCACACTTTTTATACAAAGCTGCCCTATTTTCATTTGATTGTGTGTTTAGTTTATAGCTAAAAGTTTTTTAAGTGAGTAATCAATATGGGGAAAACAGCAGCAGGAAGAATGAGAGACTATAGAACTAGAATGCTCCAAAAAAAATATCTGTAAAAGGAAAGATAAATAATATAAAACAAAAATTAATGATAACAGAAAAATTTTGATAAAAAACCTTAACGGAGAATTAGATAAATTGAAAAAAAGTGAAAACAAAGGAAAAATAAGAAGACACTGATACAAGCAGTAGAAATTCAGGAAGGATATTCTCTTTATAATATTCCTTAGACATTGGGGAAAACTATTAAGAAAGCCAATCGTGCATTACCTGTATCTCCAAAAAAATGTTCTGTTCTACACATACTCTGTAACCGTACTACCAAAGCAAAAGAAATAGCCTAGTAACAAAGTTTCTGATGAAACAAAAAAACTTATAATAAATTTTTACTCATCTGATAAACTTTCTTACCAGACTTCTGGTAGAGTTGAGAGCATGATTGTCGGAGAAAATGTCTACAAAGCCAAATGTGCACGTTGATGGAAGCATATCAAGTTTCAAAGCAGATGCATCCAAACATAAAAATTGGCAAATCTAAGTTTGCTGTACTACGACCTATCCATATTTAACCGTAGGTAAAGCACCATATAATATATGTGCTATTCTCGAAAATTTGAATTTATTATTAAAATCATAGTTGTTTGCCTAATAATTACATAGAATTACTAAATATAGCAACTTGTGACAATCGCTCGATTGACTTTTTATTTTATAACCGTCGTTGAACAGCCAACCCAAATTTGAGTTTACGGCTACCAATGTTCAACACCGTAGCCTCGTAATTTTTAACCCAATCTAAAAGACAAAGGAACTCCTCGATCAGTATCCCTAGAGTTATTGATTCGTTTTGGGAACATGGAGGAATTTATGAGCCAACATATTTAAAATGTACCAGTCATTTAAAACACTGGGATTCTTTTGATGTTGCAATAGTTTCACAAGTGTAAAAAGTTCAAGGAAAAAATAGGGTAGTTAATTTTGTTGCCCAAATAACTGAAATTGAGAAAGATACAAACAATGCACTTGCTTTTTTTTTTTAAACACAGTCCTGGTAAAATAAAAACTTTGAAATATAACTACAAAGTTGTAGCAGGGATTTGAATCATAGCAGTGCTGCCAACTCCAACTTTAAATAACTGAAGAGTTACTTTAAACAGTTATAATTCTCTTTAACTTTTCGTCGAATTTGTAACACGTCCCGCATGTTACATTTCATGTCCTCTCTGTTACAATGCATTATTTGGACTTAAAGAAACATGTTTGCAATTTCAAGTCTTATAATAATTTATTTTACCTTGAAATGAGAAAATTTTAAAAAAAATATTAAAGATAATGTTTAGGATGGTCCAAATCACAAAATTTAACATAAATAACAGTGCATGTCGAAATTGTGTGATTTTATTTGTCCCCTCGGTTACAGTTACTTTTAATTAACTTGTAATTTAACTATGAGGCTCTTTTATTATTTTATGCAAATTAATTGAACATTGCAACCAAAAGTAGCATATTCTAGTAGAATTTCTGCTTTCAAAAATATTTAATATATTTTTTTGAACAAAATACTTGTGTGATTTTCCCTCTGTTACACTTGGAATTCAACATATACATATCACAATAAAGACAAAAAGGAAAAAATTAAGAAAATTACGCACATCATTAAGTTTTATTAACTGCGCCATAAGCTGCAAGTATATAAAATTCACAAAATAAGTTAGAAACATAGAGAAAATTAAAGATTGATAAAAAGAGAAAAAATTTATTAAAATATAATATTTAAAAATTTTTTTTAAAAAATAGTATAAAAAGCCGGAAAACAAAAAAACAATTTAAAGATATAATCTCGTCTTCAGTTCACACGATTATATCTACAAATAAGGAGTGCTTTCTAACATTGTATCGATATAGACAAAGCAAAATATCTCAATACAATAGTGTGAGGAGCACTAAAAATATGTTAACAAAATAGAACACATTAAGTAATAAAAATCACGTAAAAGTAAAATGCAAAGATAAAACAGAACAGAACAAAGAACGAAATCTTTGAAGGGAGTAGCGAATTAAATTTATATGCTCGGGAAAATATTCAAGAATGATTTAAAATATTTTCGTAAGAAGATCGTCAGTAGGGGAGAGTTGGATAAAACGGGATAGTCGGACAAAACGGGATACGTCGCCTAGGGACCAGACTATTGCAGCTATCTAGTGGACAACGACAGAAACGTGTTATTCGACCGTGATTATATCATTCTCGGTGCGTCCCACCTCGAGATCACTGTTTGATAGAAAGTTGTAGGTCTCAGAACTTTTTTACTCCATTTTTTTGCCATTTTCTACATTAACGTGCGTTGTTTTTTACATTGTACCAGAGATGCCAACTGCTCCGGACACGCCAAAATAATTTAAAAAAACGGTAAATAACTACAAAGTAAATTTTGCNAAAGTTGTAGGTCTCAGAACTTTTTTACTCTATTTTTTTGCCATTTTCTACATTAACGTGCATTGTTTTTTACATTGTACTGCCTACATATATGGGAATAAAAATCCAGAGAGTATTAAATTTAATTAACCATTTACTTACCAATATTTTTATGTGCAGTCTATCTAATTTTCTTTTCACATTTAGGCAGCAGCCATGTTTGTTTCAAAAAGTCTCGGAGTCAGACAAAACGGGACACTTGTGAGTTGGATAAAATGGGATAGAGTTTTTTATGTCCCGTTTTATCCACCTATTTATTTGTTGGATTATTACATTTTAAAATAGCCATATATTAATGTAGGCCTATTAATGTAGACCAATTTATTTACATTAGCTATATATATTTTTGAAAAATTTAGTCTCTTTATATAGTAATGCAAAATTTGTTTATTAACGTTCATTATTAAGCATTTTATTTTCGATTCTAGGATTTCACATCTTTCTTTAGAACTAATTGTAATGTATTTCTCTGATGAAGACTTGAGCTTTTTTATTTATAAACAATATAATTTATATACTTGCATTATTTATTAATTTTATATTTATAAATATGCAAAAAATTAAATATTGTAAACCCTATCCCGTTTTATCCAACCCAGGTATGCTAAAACGGGATATGTAAGAGTTTGGAAATTAATTTCTTTTTCTATTTCACAGTCATTAAAATTAGGTGAAAATATGTTTTTTGTGTCCTTCAATAAATGTTGTAGCTACAAAAAAAAAATGCATGGTTTTCCTTTACAGATATTCTGTAGTAAATAAAAACAATAATGGTATCCCGTTTTATCCAACTCTCCCCTACATATTATATTAAAGCAATTCCTAAAAATTGAACTCACCTATGCAGTATATCAACATCATGCTCACTTTGGATGAAAGCTCTGTCTGTATTTCTATGTTCTCGTAGTTGAATATTTGTGTGAGGTAATCCCTGAATGTGTAGTGATGTGTGGACGCCAGCATCGTGCTGGTGGACGACGTGTAATTAATCTTTTTGGACATCTCTCGGATGAAATAAGGATTATCTGCCAGGAAAGTGGAATCTAATGTGGAATTTTCAAGACCACTAGATCTGAAGTAGAAATGATTTCAGCATGAATTCTTTTAAATTGAATTTTATATGCATTTAAGAACTACCAATTACAACTCTTTAGAATCTTATAAACAGGGTTGCCATTCAAATCTGGAAAGAAAAAATTCCCTGTGTTTTCCCTGTACATATTATACACGATATATAAAGAGAGGAAAAACACAATCCTCTTGTATAAGGTGTACTAATTATAATTGCTGAAAAAACTTAAGAAAAAAAGGAAGAGTTGAACATACTTAAAACAAATAAACCTATAGTAAATGAAATATCATCCTCAAATATCCCATAGATTGCACTTTGAGTGGTCACCATTTTTTAAAAGACAAAAATAAGAAACAAAATTCCCAGTTTGTAAAGAAAAACTCAAAATTTCCGGATTTTTCTTTGTTAATTTTGGTGATTTTTAAATTCCCTGTATTTTCCAGGCCTTCCCTATTCTACCAGTAGAGTAGGGAAGACTTAAGTAGGAACTGTAAGACTTAAGTGTAATATACCATGATCCATTTAGTCAAGAAGTGGGTGGGTAATATATATATATATATATAGCAAAATAAATAAATACAAAGAAACACAAAGAAAATTAAGAAAAACAATAAGTTTCATTTATTGTGCATAAGCTGCAAGTAAATGGAACTCATATAATAAGTTCAAAATGAAAATTACAGACATATGAAAAAAGGGGGAAAAAGAAAAATAATAATAAAAAAAAATTAATTAATAAAAAAACAACTAATAAAAATAATTTGGAAAAAAAAATCTTCTATACACATCATAAAATAAGTTCAAAATGAAAATTACAGACATATGAAAAAAGGGGGGGAAAGAAAAATAATAATAAAAAAAAATAAATTAATAAAAAAAAACAACTAATAAAAATAATTTGGAAAAAAAAATCTTCTATACACATCTTAAAATAAGTTCAAAATGAAAATTACAGACATATGAAAAAAGGGGGGGAAAGAAAAATAATAATAAAAAAAAATAAATTAATAAAAAAAAACAACTAATAAAAATAATTTGGAAAAAAAAATCTTCTATACACATCTTNGTTTTTCAAAATCATGCGCAATTTCGCAGCAATGACCATTGTAAAGTTGATTGAGAAACGGTTCAGACTTACAATGGAATCTGTGCAAGTTGAACGCATTAAAAAGTGTAGACTCAAATTTGCAATTCAATATTTAAGAAAAAAAATACATTGTGTCTGGAAACTCCGGCAGGCTACATGTTTTCCATCCAATTTATGCATTAAAAAAATTGCTAGGAGTGCAGAAAAGTTTCTCAATAGTCTCCTTTTCCTGAAAATAGTTTCTTTTTTCACCTTTCCAGGGGAAAAAAGTTGTCACAGTCACCTCATGCCGAAAAGAGTTGCATTCTTTTAGTCTGTGGCAACCCTGAGCTATGCATTATGTTAGAGTGAAACTAATATTGAGAACCCAATCCATGATTAACACATGGAGAGTTGAAACTTTTTATGAGATTTATCTATTATTATTTTCACTATAAATTTGAGCAGGTTAAATAAAAGTAGGGATCAATTAAGAATTTTTAAAAAAAAATACATACTGTTCAATACTGCCGGGAACACCCAGAGGTGATAACGGTAGAACTTCCCTATCCACCCTGTATCTGAAATGGAATATCAGAAAGATTTACGACAAGTAGTCACTGCACTTTAAATAAATGTAAAAGCGCAATCTAAAGACAATTATGCAATTTTAATTGAAGAATGAGAAGCAAGCTAGTAAAAAAGAAATCTCAGATTGAATTTCAATTGAAAAATCTCACACTGAAGAGCAATTACGTTTCCAATGTAAGAGTAAATTAACCCTGACCTGCCCCCTGTAAGGAATACCTGTCCCATCTAGGGAATATCTGTGACCCGGCATGGCACGAGATGCTCAAAATCAGCACAGTGAATGTAAAGGCACATTGGTACATGGCCCCACTTGAAAAAATGTTTTTTTTAATTTCTTCAACAAATATGGAGATATTTGAGAATATTCGGATAAACAGGAGACAGTCATAAAATACAGGTGTCTTCGTTAAAAACAGGAGACTGTAATTTAAAATTCAGGCAACCCTCGGGAAATTTTTTGACTCATTAAAAAAAATGCTACAAAATTTTTCATTGTAAAAATTTGTCGTTTTTCAAATTTAAACCTGAAATAATATTCCATTTAACAATGTATAAAACATAGTAAAATGTAAGGAAAAGGAAAGGTTTATCATCCATTATGGATGATAAATAAACAACTTCTTTATTCCTGATTATTGTTAAATCTTGTTGCTTCATTAAAAATGCAACATTTGGTCAAATAAGCTATTAAGTCCTCACTTAAATCAATATATATGCCATATCAATTTACTGTCTAAAAAGAAAAGTAATATTTTTTGTTATGTTTAACTTAACACAAATGACTTTATAAGTAAATTTTTTCGTTTATTAATTTGAATTCCTTAAATTTATGAATGAGACCATAAATTTAGTTTCATAAATTACTACTATTTTGATATATAATTTGACTTCTATTATATTTAACATACATGCTAGTTTATGAAAGAATCGTGTAAAAAAATTTTTTTTTCAAAAGAAAAAAAAAAAAAATATTGATAATATGGAAATAATTATGATAATATAGAGAGAAAAAATTAACACTATAGAAATTTTACGTTTCAAACCAAAAAAGAAAATTGTTCTGGTAAAATATTTTCCAAGAATCTGAGATATTCTTAAAACTGTCTGAGAATTTTATAAACTTCAGAGCCTATAAATCAAAACAAAAAATTCCACTATTGGAGGCTAAAAAAACAATTCTTTACAAAATGAAATGTTCATCATTTAGGGTTGCCACTCAAATCTGGGAAAAAAAATTCCCGAGCACGACGTGTGAGGATACATCGGTGGTGAGTCTCAAATTTTGCAGATACGCGTATCCGTACGTAATAAAGTATCCGTGTGCGAAAAAAAGTTTGCAGTGGGGGGGGGGGGAANGGGGGGGGGAATACGAAGCAGACAGTGTAATTATGATTTAGGAAAGGTAGAAGTCAGTGCTCCCAAAGAGAAACTGCCACTTCAGCCCAAAGATAAGCAATCTCATTTTTAGCAGCAGAGCTTACAAGCGGCTATTTTTCACAACTTAATTCGAAGCAACTATCACTTTACAACAAAAATAGACTATTGCGGAGACAGAAGAAAATCATTTCATGTCATTTCGTTAGGAGCAAAATGACTAACATTGCTTCATATGATGATTACTTCAAATGAATGTAGTTCTATGTATAACTATTAATATTTCTCTCATGTTCTTAATGTTAACGCACATATCAATATATATATATTTTGTCTAGAGTAAATAAATAAAGATATTAAATAGTTAACTGATTTCGTATATATAATAAAATTATTCTATTACCAAAAATATTATGAGCTTGCAGATACTTTATGTTTTTATCTTACTATGCATATTTCCCACAATGTACGAAAGAGAAAGGATTACTGCAATCTTGTAAGAGCTATATTGGGATAACTATAATTATACAGCTTAACTTAAAACAAATAATGCTATAGAGTAAATAAACTAGTTTAATATAGCTGAAATATCCCCCATAGATTGCGCTTTGAGTGGTCACCACTTTGAAATGACGAAAATAAGAAACAAAATTCCCTGTGGAGAGGCTACCCTGTTGTTCCTAGAAAAAGAAATTATTAATATCCTTTTAAACCACTTTTTATTTTGATAATTCCTAAAAAAAAAAGCTATTGCAAGAAGGAACAAACACATTAGAGAAAATATAGATTAAACGTTTTAACATAAACAATGTATTGAAATAAAAATATGATATAGTATGTCTAAAGTTAAAGAACTCCCCTAGCCATTCACGGCGGGAGTTTCAAGTCATTACTTAGGAAAGGTTCTGGCTAGGGTTCTTCTGTCTATTGTGTGCCAGCCCTAGAGTGAAGAGAAGCTCTATTCCTGTTTTCATAGGACTTCGTGGCAGGGGGGTTAGAGTTTGGGCAGCTCTGACGAGCAGGGCACATCGACCAGAGGTCTATTGTACCCAGTGGCAGGGGGGAGTTCTTATCGTAAACAAACTATAAGCACCTAACGGAAGATAATTGTGATTTGCATATGTTGGCTCATAAAAGGAAGGAGGGGCACGAGCAATCACAGTGATGGTCGGTGTATGCAAATTCTGCACCCAGCTAGTATCGATCGCAGTGCTGACGTAGATCATGGGTTAGAGTCCCCTTGCTGCCAGGCTAACCGTGGGAGGCATTCCTCTCAATGTAACACTAATGAGAGTCAGTTCCATCAAAAAGATCTCCACGAAGGTAACTTTCGCCCAGTGTCCGAGAGATCGCGGGCTCAGTTCCTGCCAGTCGAAGACTGTCAGTGTACTAAATGGTGAATGATGCACGTTAAATCTGGCAGGACACTAAGTCCTCCATGTTCCCTTAACAAATCAGTACCTCTGGGTGTACTGATCTAGGAATTTTAGTCTTCTGGATTGGGTTCAAAATGACAGGGCTACTGAGTTCAACATGAGTAGTCATACACCGAAAAAAAACACTGGTTATGAAATAAAAGAATTCCAAAATGAAAATCAAATTGCAAGAATTTTTGAGGATTTAAAACAAATACATAAGAGGAAATACATAGTGTGACATTAAACGTTTTAGTAAAAAACAATGTATTGTTTACTAAAGGAAATGAAAAACATGATACGCTTATTTTTTACCTTAAGATCAAGACGCAAACTGCTACTAAAGTATACGCTAATAGCGTACCAATTGACATCATGTTTGCTAGTTCAGTAACATTAAAAATCATTGCCATAAAACCTGGAAAGTTTTAAAATAAATTTGTAGAGAAAAAGATTAGTAGAAAACAACACTTTTATACAGGGTGCGTAGCCAGATTATTTTCCAACAAAAAATAAAAAATTTTTAATAAAAATATTTTGAATCACTTTAAAAAAAAATAAAAAAAATAATAATAATCATAATTCGGATATGTGGAGTCATAAAAATTATTTCTTCTGATCATTTAAAGTTCTTAATTTATGAACACAAAATCAATAAAATTCAAAAACATTTTCACAAACTTGACATAATCATGATAAAATAACTAGATTCTGATAAATATTGCAGAGAAAATTGTGAAAAACATGCATTTTTTTGTAATTTATAATGGACACGGCAAAGTAAAAATCTCTTTTTGAAAGATAGAAAATTAAGCACTTTTTACAAATCCCGAATAAAAAAGGCACATTTGAGAGGAAGAAAATTCTCCTTCATTACCCGTTTAAAGTGTAGAAAAAGTGAGTTCAGACAAACCATGAAATTTCATGATTTGCCTGAACTTACATTTTCTTTCTTTTAAATAAGTAATGAAGGAGAATTTATGACGAAATTTCTCTTCCGCGGCACCCTCTCGAGGGCTTTAAAAAAATAAGCACTTTTTACAAATCCCGAATAAAAAAAAGCACCTTTGAGAGGAAGAAAATTCTTCTTCATTACCCGTTTAAAATGTAGAAAAAGTGAGTTCAGACAAACCATGAAATTTCATGATTTGCCTGAACTTACATTTACTTTCTTTTAAATAAGTAATGAAGGAGAATTTGTGACGAAATTTCTCTTCCGCGGCACCCTCTCGAGGGCTTTAAAAAAATAAGCACTTTTTACAAATCCCGAATAAAAAAAGCACCTTTGAGAGGAAGAAAATTCTTCATTACCCGTTTAAAGTGTAGAAAAAGTGAGTTCAGACAAACCATGAAATTTCATGATTTGCCTGAACTTACATTTTCTACACTTTAAATGGGTATTGGAGAATTTGTTACAAAATTTCTCTTCCGCGGCACCCTCTTGAGGGCTTTCAAAAAATAAGTACTTTTTAAAAATGCTCTGCAACCTTGGTAATTGAGAGTGTGAGATTGTTACCTGTAAACAAACCAGAAAGAAAAGTTGCCAGCAAAGGTGTTTTGTACTTTTCGTGAGTCTTGGCCAAAAACTTGAAAATCAATCCATCGTTGGCCATAGCGTAGATGATTCTGGGAAGGGGAAACATACCACCTAAAAGACTAATCAATACATTTCATTGAAAATAATTGTTTATAATATATTTTCTTTGAACATTTATCAATTTCAGTGGGCCTCTCCTCCCTGGATATATACACGGTGTTTTCACTACAGCGCGAGAATCTCGCATATTTTTTTCCTTTCTCGCATTAAAAAATTTCTAACGCGAGAAGTTTGCGCATTCTATTAATCAATTTTAAAATGCACGAATCTCTCGAATTTTGGAAAAAATTTCGTTTACCGCTATTTTGAATAAAATCCGCCATTTTGAAAAAGACATGAAAACAGCTACGACAAATGTTGATAAAAAAAAATGAGTCCTTTATAAAAAGTTGTTTAAAGTTAGCTCTATTTTTAGCTGTTAATGAATTACCAAACTTCCTCATCAACAATTTACAGCTATTTATAAAAGTTGAAGTCTGTAAAAACTATGCTGGAAGATCTAACAAGAAGTATGAACATGGAAATAACTTCAACGAACTTCACTATTCTGTAACAGAAATAATTGAAAAGCCTATGCAGGTAGATGTAAAGGATAGGAAAGAGTGTGCACAATGCTAAAAATTTAATTAGTGATTCCGAATAGTTCAGAATCTGTTGCAAGGTCATTTAGCACCCAAAACCAAATTAAAACAAAATATCGTAACAGATTGGGTGATGTACAAATTTTTAGCTCGTTAATGTAAGATGGACAAATACCTTGTACAGCCAATATCTTCTACTCCAAAACGGACAAATGAAAATGAAACAAATGTGGGTAGAAACGATCAAAACGAAACAAATACGCATTTGAGCAACCTAATGAGAATAGCTGATGAAAAAGTAGATATACAACATTTTTTATATGATGATGCAGCAAAAATATTCAATGGCTTAGAAATTACAAGATGTTAAAAATGTATTATAATTAAAGAAATATTTTTTAGAAATCTCACTTAACTTTTTGAAATCTAACCCTGTTTTTGAGAAAGGGTGAGAAATTCTCTTCCATTTTTTTTCTGCAATGAAAACACTGTATACACATATATACACACATATATATGCATACACATATAATGAAAAAAGAGAAGAAAATAATTATTATAAAAAAAGCTAATAAAAATCTAGGAGGAAAAAAAATCTAATTTTTTCCCCTCAGATTTTTATTAATTGTTTTTCTTTTTTAAAAAATAATTTCTTCTTCTCCTTTTTCATTATTCTGCAATTTTTTCCATGTTTTCTCAACATTTTTTACTTATATATACATATATGTATACATATACAGATATATATACATATACAGGGGTCTGTCTAGGTTTTTCTGTGGGGTACCTATTTTATGAAAATTTACACATAATTTGAGAAAATAAAAAATTATATTAAAAAATAAACACAAAAATTTGGTAAAAATATGGATGCATTGTTTCTTACGGGATACAAAAATAAAATTTTAGGAAAAAGTATTTTGTGAAACTACTGTTTTTCCTAAAGTTGAATTTGTGAAGGTACCTCTAAACAGTAGTAAATTTGGCCTGGACAGACCCCTGATATATATATATACACACATATATACATAAATATAGATATAAATCATTCAAAGATTTATTACTCTTATTAATTAGAAATACTTATTTATTCAATGATTCAATCACTTATGTATCCAAAATAGAACTGAGCAATGTTAAGATTTCGGCATCGGGATGTATTGTCACTCTAAAACCCGATATTTCCATACATTGCGAAGTTTTGCTTCTCTAACATTTTTCTTTTGGTCTTTTGCAGTTTCTCACACTTTTTGATTGATAAATTGAGGCAACTGCATTCTCGTAATAAATGATACATTGAAAAGAAAAATAAACAACAAAAATAATTGAATAACTTGTGCAGGAAGGGGGAGGGGACAAAATCAGTTTATCACTGCCTGTGTCAGTCAAAAAGTAATTATGAATATAAAAATTATAATAAAAATCCTCACAAACAGAAATATAAAAAATTTGCTGAGAGAAAGAAAGAACATCCCAGTCACGCCCTTCCTCAATCTTAAATTTAGTTCATTCCTATTAATCATAAATAAAGAAGAAAGTTCTCGTGCGTGCTAGTGGTTATCCATTTCAAGGTCAGGAGAAGCGCTCGTAACAAGCTTTTAAACCATCGGCGTATTATCGGATGCAGTGCTCGTAATCATGCACGTAGACGACGATGTCGTCGCCACATTGTGAAACATATCTCGGTAAACCGTCATTTTTGATGCTTCAAAAAATTGCTGTGGGTGCTTTAGATTGCGTTACATGGAGAAGGATAGAACATTTGCCTTCCAATGAGCTGAACCAGGTTCGAATCCCAGCGATGGCTGGTCGACGCAAATTTCACACCCGACCACAGTCCAGAAGTAAAATATCCTCAATAGTAAACGAATTATGGGTCAGAGTCCCCTTTCCATAGGGCTAACCGTGGGAAGTTCTCCTGGTCTTCCTCTCCATGTAATGCAAATGCGGGTTAGTTCCATCAAAAAGTCCTCCACGAAGGCAAATTTCTCCGAACACTTGATCCAGGAGTTCCCTTGTCTTTTGGATTGGGTTCAAAATAACAAGGCTACAGAGTAGTCGTAAATCCGAACTTGGGTCGGCTATTCAATGACGGTCATAAAATCCAAAAATAGGGGAGCCAGGATAGTCTGGTTGGTAGGGAGTTGGACTCTCGTTGACGAGATGGTGGCTGGTGCACGTCAAATCGGGCAGGGTCACAAAGTCCTCCAAGTCTCTAAACAAATCAAAACCTCTGGGTGTACTGATCCAGGAGTTTCCTTATCTTCTGGATTGGTTCAAGGCTAAGAAGTTGAACATTAGTTAGTAGCGATTGAAACTAAATCTAGATTTGCCTGAACCTACTGTTTCTTTCCCCTACTACAGTACAGAACCCGCTATCCGGAAATCAGAAAACCGGAACGAAATTCGATAAATTTTCCCGCCATTTTTAAAAAATTTTTTTTTTTTTTCCTCATAAGATTTTAGGATTTTTCTTTCTTTTTTGAAAGATGTTCACCTTACCATCATTTTTGAAATAATCATTAGTGTATTACACCATCTTTTTTTCTTCTTTTTAAGATTATTTCCAAATTGTTTTTAGTTGGGTTTAACAATAAAAAAACGGCTTTTTGTCGCGATTCAGAAAACCGGAAAAATCAGTTATCCGGAATAGCGATGGTGCCGATCGTTCCGGATAATCGGTTCCCTACTGTATTTAAATTAGTAATGAAGGAGAATTTGCGGGGATGTTTTTTTCCCACTGTCCTCTTAAGAGAACATTGAAATAGGGTTAAAAATTATGGGTTGGTGGTTCGGTCTGAGAAACATCCCCGATGACACGCCATCACCATTGCAGAGAGGATGGCTCCCCAGCCCAACGACCCGTGCAAGAAGTCGAGTACTTTACGGTAGAAGGATCAAAGTGTTGTAAAGCACATACCTAGTCGATAGTCCAGCCAGAGCTCCGACAGTGATGACCCACTTGGCCACTGGGTATCCAACCATTTGAAAGACATAGGGTAGTGGAGCTGGAACATCTTGATCATAATACGGCCACATAAGAGTCTGGACAGAAGAGACACTAAAGTAGGCACAAAATACAATGAATAAGGAACTCACAATGGCTATTGGAATAGATTTCTGGGGATTCTTTGCCTCTTCACCTACAATAGATAATAGAATAAGTTCAATACCTTTACTTATTCTAGATAAAAAAATACATGTAATCCCTGGCCAAATTATTAGACGCACTATGTTTAGTAAAATCTTTATCATCAGGTGATACTATGCAGCTTTATTGTTTTTACGTGATTGGAACTCGTCTGCACTTTTAATTGCGCATCAGTAGGTTAAACGAGACGATACGTAATATAAATTCGACTATTGGATAAATTAGACGATATATTATATAAATGTAGAATAATTATTACATCAGGCATTGTATTAGATTATTACAATAATTATTAGAGGCACTGTAGTTTATTAATAATGACATGTTTTGCACGAGTTTATAGGCGATATTTTAATATTTCATGTAATGGGTTTTTCCTCAGATTTTTCATTACTTACTCTTTGTATTTATATTTGAAGTATTATATTACAATGTCAACCCATCAACATAAACAAGTGCAAACCGGTTTTGTCCGAGTAAAAACTATACAGAGGTCAGGGGTCTGTCCAGGCCGAATTTACTACAGTTTAGCAGTACCTTCACAAATTCAACTTCAGGAAAAACGGTAGCTTCACGAAATATTTTTTCTTAAGATTTTTTTTTGTATTCTTTAAGAAACGATAAATCTATATTTTTGTGTTGATTTTTTAATATAATTTTTCACAAATTATGTCTAAATTTTCACAAAATAGGTACCTCTCAGAAAAACCTAGACAGACCCCTGGAGGTACTTGATAATTATAATTTTAGATAGAATCTTATAGTGTGTCTAATAATATGGCAAAGAACTGTATATATGCACATTAACATTAAGAACATTAGAGTAATATTAATACATAGAACTACAATCATTTAAAGTAATTATCATATTAAGTAATATTAGTAATTTCGCTCCAAACAAAATGACACTAAAGGATTTCCTTCTCATAGCGATAGTCGAGTCGATTTGTAAAAAATCAGCCTATCGTAGGCTTCGCCGCTAACAATGGGAACTTTAGGCTAAAGTGGGAGTAATAAATTTTTTTTTCGAGAGTAGCATGTATGCAACTATTCCCTGCCCACTGCTAATTTTTTTTTTATATTACAATAAATATTAAAAAGTACATGCAAAATTGGAGAATCCCTACCAATGTGTCTAACTATGCTACAGGGTTGGAATTTGTAGGAAAAAAAAATCCTAGTTTTTTTTTTCCCTATATATATTATACCCAATATAGAGTCAAAATTAGCGGGATTATCACTAGGGGTCTGTCTAGGTTTTTATGAAAAGTACCTATTTTATGAAAATTTAGACATTATTTGTGAAAATTAAAAATTACATTAAAAAATCAATACAAAAATATGGTGAAGTAAGAAGATCAGGGGTCTATCCAGACATTTTGTGAAAGGTCCATTCTTGTAAAATTTTGAAAAAATGACTCGCAATTTGTGAATATAAAATAAAGGTTAAGTCATATTCTTTCAACCAGGGTTCAACCAGGCGCTTTTGTTAATGTGTGCAATTAGGGTACGTTACTGCAAAAAAAACTTTTTCAAGGAGTTTTTAAATTGTAAAGACATACAAGACTATGCTCAACACTGTAAAATTATAATTAAAAAAATTAAATTTTAAAAAATAAACAGCAATTTCAGTTACTAAATTAGCGATGCAACATACAAATATTTGGTATTTAGCCTATACTGCTGAACGCGGAAAATTAATTTTGGACGAATAAAGGAAGAAGCGTCTGCCGAAGACAAAATTTAGTTCATTTACATTTGTCTTTCTCCCCCCCCCCTTCCTGGGAAGGGTTTATTCGATTAACAAAACAATAATGAAGATAAACAAATTTGTGAAGGGTCCGATTAAAAGATAAATTATTTGATGACTTAAAATTGTATCCAAAAAAATCCGTAAAATCATTGTTACATTTCAACTCTAATTTTTAAAAAAAAACATGCACTTAACAGTACTTAAAGTTATTTTCATAATGAGAACATTTCTTACGCGGTCATATAGTAAAAGTTTCACAGAGAAAAAAAAATTTTCCTAAAAAAATAAAGGTCTGTTAGAATAAATTTAAAACAATGTTCGAATGTTTAAAATAACGTTCCAATTTCAACTTCCCCTAAAATTAAAAAAAAATTTTGTAAAAAACTTGGCAAAAAATCTCATTATAAAATGGTGTCAGAGACGGGTTAGGCTGACTGCACCGCACTATCTGACCAAGCACTTGCTACTTAATCGTATATGGTCAATTAACCAGACATTTATCGTTTCTTAGGGGATACAAAAACAAAATTTAAAGAGGCGGTGAGGAGAATCTTAGAACTTGCTTTTTCAAAAGCATTTTGTGAAACTATTATTTTTCCAAAACTTGAATTTGTGAAGGTTCCGTTAAACGGTAGTAAATTTACCCAGGGCAGACCCCTAATCATAATTATTTCATGTTAACCAAATTTCTTTCATCCGGAACATCGCGAAAATAATTTATTTCGTACTACTAATACATGTTACTACATTAATGTATGCAAACAATTCAATTTCGAACCATACAGATTAAAATAAGCTTTGAAGTTTATAACTACTTTATTATTTTGCCTATTTTATTTGCCCATCTGCTTACTTATAACAAAGGAAGAAAATAGAAATCCTCAAAATGAATGATTTTATTCACAATAACATACATAATTATATATTATCTGTGCTTTCATGTTAAACATATAAAATACAGCAATAAATGATTGCTGACTCATGTGTTTCATGCAAAGTGATATTTCACTTTACGCAGTTAGTGAGATTCAACTGTGTTGAGAGGAAACACAATTATTGTGCTCTTTGTGTCAGCTGAGAGGAAAAAAAGGAACATATTTAAATAATGCTATAGTAAATGAAATAGTTTAGCAGGGTGCATAGCCAAATCTCTCAACAAAAAATAAGCACATTATAAAAACACTGCATGAAAAAAGCACCTTTAAGGGCTTTTAAAAAACGCTACACACCATGTTTAGTTATAGCTGCAACATCATCCTGAAATATCTCATAGAATGCACTTAAGAGTGGTCACCTTTCTTTAAAAGAAAAACAAAATTTCCTGTTATTTTAGGTGATTTTCAAATTCCCTGCTCTCCCCCTGATTATTTCAATAGAATGAAAATATTTACCGGTCGTAGCTATGCAGTCAAATCCAACATATCCATAAAAACAGGTAGCTGCACCACTGATCACTCCGTGGAAGCCATAAGGGAAAAATCCCCCAGACCCGTACTTGGTGTCTGGTATTTCCTCAGGGGTAAGCTGCCAATTATGCAGATTTGCTTTGAATAATCCACAGATCACGGCGTAAACGACTACCAGAAGGTTCAGAATGGTGCACACATTGTTAAAACGAGAAGACTCTCTCACACCAAAGGCCAGGATAACTGCAAAATACAGATTTAGTAAAAAAGACATTACAAAATAATGACTCTCAACCACTGAGCTGAGACACTTTTGTGTGGCGTCCAATTCATAAAGTGTGCCACCAAATTTTAGAAACGATATAGTAAAAACTATAATGGTTTTTTTTATTATGAGTAAAGCTTTAATTTAAAGTATATATATATATATATATATATATATATATATA